AATGGTTAAATCTAATTTTCAGAGAATTCTGGAAATAAAATAACTACATAAATTAATTTAAAATAAAATATTATTTGAATAGTTACCTATTGAACCATTAAATTCTAATAGRCTGTTCTAATAGACCTGTTTCAATTATTAAGGGATCCTTAATATTTTTGTGAGAACTGTTATGAAAATAAGGGGTATGTTTTAAATTTTGATAATACAAAACTTATAATGGATGTCAAAATAAATAAGGAAGATAATAATATGTAAATTTAGTTGTAAATACTTATTACTTTTATAAAGTGAGTAATCAAATATTTATACTTACTCAGTTTTAATTCTTTAAAGAAAAACCAATGATACAACTTGACGATGTATCCGTACTTCTGGTTGGCAGAAATGAAACAATGACTTCTATACTTGAACTACATGAAAAAATAAAACAGMATTATTATTTATAATTTATAACGATAATAATAACCAATAATATGCATATAATGTCAGACATTCCGATTTTGTCAATGTGTTATTGATAGTCTCTTATATCAGTAGCTAAATTTTAGTAATTAATTAGTTTACCAGAATACAAGAGAGCAATATCATACAAATAGCAATGTTTCGTTCAATTTTTAGCAAGATAAAGTTAAAATTAAACATGATTTTGCATAAAAGCATAAAGAATCCAGTACTTGTACTACTGAGTATAAATGTGGTCAGGACTGAGCAAGATATCACAAATTGAGTACTTTGATACAAAATACAGAGTATATTAATGTTTAGTATTTAATACAACTTTTCAGATAATCTAACAACCACATAAATATACTTAATATTTGTACTGAGTATTTTTTAGTTAGGCAATATTGAAAAATAATATTCTAGTCTTTATATATATATATAGATGTTACAGTTAAAGTATTGAATCAATTACTTAATGAAATAACTAAGAAATGTATAAAATAATTAAAACATGTAGGTATTTATAATTTAACCAGTTATTTTAAACATTCCCTGGCATCACATCATTAATGTGTTAAATTGTATACAAAATATCATGTACAATATCGTCATTTTACTGTCCATCATACTAATGATAATCATACATTAAAATCTGGAGCAACTGCACAGTCACTGGGAACTGATCAGTGTTTGTTAAAGAGCATTAATACCAAAAAAAGTGATGCAAAGCAGTGTCTTTACAGAAAAAAAGTACTGTGCAACTCTAAATGTTACAATAGTCTTACATGTTCAAATAAATAATTAATTTAATTTAAAATAAATAAAATCTTATAATATATTTTAAATTTAATGCATTTTTTACTTTAGCGTATATCTAACTAAAATTCCATAAAATAACTAGGTCTCCTATGAAATAACTAGTTACAGTATGATTTTCATGTATGATTTCATATTTTAACTAATATTTGTAGGTAATTCATGAACTACCTAGTTATTACATAAAAGTATGGAAGTTAACAATTTAACTATGACATATAGATACATAAACTCAGAGTTGGGTAGTATCTTAAATAGAATTGAATCTTATATCTTGTGTCCCGATCAGTTATAAAAAGTGAGAAATATTTTGTATTACAATACATTAAAGAAATACTTTGAAACATTCATTTTTTAATGACTTGAACAATAACTATACTCTAGTTAGGTACATAATGATTGTATGACTATCCCACTTTAGAGGTATAACCAGTATTGGAAATATTTGATGAAATTAAATCTTTAAGATATACTTAATAATTATCCTATAGTTATTCAAGTTTTTATTCGATTCAATAACAGCTTGTTCTCTTTCACTTATCAAACTTATGTTTCCATCTGCTGGATTTATAAAAAATTCTACAAGGAACAGATTTTTCTAATGTTACTTTTGAAAAATTATTATTATTAAAAGATAAGTTATAAATAAATAAATAAAGTAAATAAATAATACTGAATATTATTAGAATACATTATAATCATTAAACATTAATATCATACCAAAATTAGCATAATTCAATATCTAGCACCAAAAGTAGTAATAAATAATATAAATAGCCTTGTAAAAGATACTTTTGAAATATATTCAAGTACAGGTACAGGTTAAAGATATTTATTTTGTAAATATTTAAAATACATACTTAAATACTCAGTAAAAAAAGTATTTGTTTGTAACATATTTGTAGGTATGTTTGATTCAAATTTTTTATAAATATTTATTTTATCTTATAAATCAATAAACCAATTTTATGTTTTTTATTTTATAGTGCATCTAGAATTACAATAATCAGTAGACAACATATAGTATCTAGTATTGCAATTCTTGGCACTGATTTTTAAGTATTTAACCTATTGCTGTATTTAGTTTAGTAATATATTACTATTAACTATTAAGTAAAAGCTACCCAGTTAGTAGATAAACAATAAACCAAGCAAACATTTATAACAAACAATGTTAACATTTATAAATTGATCACCTGTAATACATTCATATTTAATAGGTTCAAACATAAAAAATATAATAATAATAATTATTCAAATAAATCAAAGTCAGAACATACATACCAACTCTTAACGGTCAATGTTTATTCATAATGAAAATTAAACAATTTGTATAATTTATAATATCAAAAATAACAGT